AAGATGGTTAAATGTCCTGTACTTTTTCATAGTGAATGCATAGTGTAATGCAATAACAAACCTCTTGTGTTTATTAATTGTAACATAATATGATAAGAGCTTTTTTAATATAAGCATGACCTTTACTAATCCTTTGATACCCATCATCTCCACAATATTTGTTGCTTTCACTTGAAGTGACTGCTGGGATATCAGCATGCTGAGCGTGCCTGTGTGCATTTGATCTAATCGCTGAGAGCAGAGCAACACACACACACTCCTCTCGTTCACACATCCTCACTGCTCTTTGTTGGAACATTGTAATCAGTGGCCTCCACTGAATTTGCATGCCTTGTTTCCACATCTCTCTCCATATATGGAATATTTTGGCCCTCTTTCTGTGTGTGTGTGTGTGTGTGTGTGTGGAGTAGGTCGTAGTTCAGAGCTGCTGTAAGGAACGGAGCCAGGAAGAGTGTGTGCGTGCATTTAGAGAGGCACTAGTGTAAACCAGCCAGAGAGAATGAGGAGCATAGCTGCAGGATAAAAGACTTCAGAGCATATGTGCCAGCTGACACTCGTGCACATGGTCTGGTCTGTCTCAAGCACATCAGTTCAACTCCGCTGCATCAGCACACATCACCTCTCCGGGGCCGCTTACAAACCCTGGGTTATCCTCACTGCTGACTTCATGCCCTAACCCGCTTCTGAAACAGGCACACATGCATAATGTGGCCCAGCAACAGCCTTGAGGTGCATAGGGCTGATGAAGTGTGAGGAAGACAACAGGAATAGTAAGAGATGGTTCACTGCATATGCAGAGATATCATAACTGCCACTGGGATTCTCAGATTGAATCCTCGGTGTGCAAAAATCATTCTTCATGGATTTATAGCGAAGCAGAAAACGAGTGAAGCAACATACTCTTGAGTAAAGAGAACAAGGTGTTTGTGTGTTTCCACATGCAGACATCTGTCTTTGACATTCACTGCTGAGACATGCTTGCACGCACAGTTCATCCAAAAATGATAATCGGCATCATTTTTTTTCTCTACTTTTTAAAATGTGAAAGTATTTCATTTTTACACCTTCAAATGTATTCATTCATTGACATAGCACATGACATTTTACAACCTGAACTAACCTTGCCTTAAGAGAACTTTAAGAGACTTCTTGACTTATTGAGGGCTTTTAGAAGTCTTCTTTATGATATAATTTTCTGTTTTACTGTTTTTTTTTTTTTTACACGTGTCTGCTAGGGCTGTGTATCACCAGCAAAGTCACGATACGATACGTATCACAATACATGACTGCACTGAATTTCACCTCAGCAGAATTTAGAAAAACAGCTGTTTATTAAACACTGCTTACTATAGTGCCATTTCTAACTATTGGCAGAGCAGGCAGTTGACCTCTGCATTATGAAGGGCCTCCATAACTGTACCACAGTACAATACAGGTAATGGAATATGTTTCATGTTTACATTTGTGCGCTCCCCACCTGGTACAATATTCTGATTGTTTGCATCTTGTTTTTAAGCCCATAAATAATAATGTACTTGTTCTAATAAATTTATATTGTAATGCACTCATTCTAATATGTTTAAAAAATAATTTACATTGCTGGTAGGTTATCATTGCACAAATTAACACTCTCTCTACAATAAAAAAAAAATTAGTAGAGTTCTAAATAGCGCGCTGTCTTCACTGTATCTAACGCACACATGCTCAAGGCTGATTTATACTCGACGCGTCCGCAAGTTCGCTTTGAGTGCACGCAACGTCGTTTTGCGTGGCGGTGTGCACAAAGTTTTTTTGTAACTTTCCGCGCAGCTCCGCTTCCGAAGATGCACGAGTTCAAAGCGACTCTAGCCGAACATGCACGTCTGTGCCAGCATTTGTGTGAAACAAGCAGTTTGGTGTTAAGTGCAGTCACTCACACAGATCACTGCGGCCGAACTCAGACATTCAGGAACAAACTTTTTAGCGCTGCCCCGCAATTTTATCAACTAAATAGCTTAATCGCTCAAGAGCTACATTATCTTTCTCAACAAGGAGCTGGTAGCATCATTGTTTCTAAAGGAATTAAAGCCATAACTTTACTGTTAATAGAGAAACGCGGCAAAACGGTG